TGTTTTTGAGTCTTTGAAAAATTTGGCTTATGTTGAACTTTTCCACTTGTCATCCTACGCAGAGAGCGCGAACCCTGGCTGAGGGGGCCGTTTGCCAAGAAAATTTGGAAGTGAATTCAGGTTCGAATGAGTGGCCTGCCCCTCCTCCACCCGTTCAGCAGTCTAGAGAACTGTTGTTCCGTTCATTTCTAAGGTCAATTCATAGATCACCTAGGGTTGAAGCACAAGCACAGGCGTTTAGTGCAATTGCGACTCCCAGTGAATGCTCTCCAGTTTCTCTTTGTACTAGCGACCACAAATCCGACTCTGAAGAGGAACTTATATATGAAAACGTAGAGCCCAGAGAAAATTGTCCTAGTCGTGAAGGTATAAGTGAAGATTCAATTGAGGAACTGCATAATTCATTCGTCGATAGTTCTTCAGAGTCAGGTCAGTTGTCTCTTGCACCAGTCTATGCCGAAATGGAAGATCAAGTTAATCAGTTAGGTCGAGCAGTTGAACAAATGCAGGCTTCTGTTAACTCACAGGGTAGAAGTGTCAGTGTGAAATTGTTAGTAACGTTTCCAGTTTTTAGGAGAGATGAGTGTGAGGATGCTCATGAGTTTATTAGGAATTATAACAGGGCTGGTAGGTTAAATGGTTGGGACGACAACAATTTAGCTTTGGGGCTTCCTCTCTATTTAAAGGGTCATGCTAACGGGTGGTTCAAGACTTTGCCCATGGCTGACGAGATGTCTTTTGAAGAATTATCTGAGCAATTAATTACACATTTTGCCTCCGGAGCCAGCGAGTGGCGCGCAAGAGAGGTGTTAGGGCAGCGGTGACAACTGGAGAAAGAATCAGTTGCAGATTACTCTTGTAGTCTCCGAACCCACTGTGCGAGAATCAATTTGCCTAGATCTGAGTGGACACATTATTTTGTGCAAGGCCTCCTACCTGAGATCTGCAAATACGTTATTTTGCAAAAAACCTGAGAATTTGACGAAAGCAATTAATCCTAAGGATAAGTCAATTAGTGCTGTGAGTCAGGACCCTTTCGTGAGCAAGTCTGAAATGAAACAAATCATTAGAGACAAGTTTCGAGAGTTAATGGGAAGTGCTAGTTATAGACCCAGTGGTTATAATCAGCACTCTAACCAGTCTTTTCAGTCAAGGGGTTTCCGGTCCTGGTTTGGTGATGCCATTTGCTATAATTGTGGTTGAAAAGGGCATCCTTATTATTTTTGCCGCTAAAAACCTGATCCTAGAAATTCTCATCATGGAGGCGGTGGACAAAACTTTTTATCAGAATAAAGGTCAAGATGCTTCTATTTGTCAACCTAAGCAGCAGGGAAACTGAAGTGTGCCCCTGTCTCGTTACAAAATGAACCCGTGATGGAGGCTTCAAAAGTTGTAGAGCAGAATCAAAGTTCGTTGCCAGGATCGTGCTGATAAAATTACTTTCAGTAAAGCGCTGCCTGTCAATGTTTCAGTAGATACAACAGCTGATTTTCGGTAAAATGTTGTTAATAAGAGTGATTTTCAGACCTTGCCAAAACAATTCTCTGATTATCCGCGGCAAGGAAGTAGGCTATCAAAACAAGGCACTTGTGTTGAGAGTAATATTGTTGTTATTCTATCAGTTGTTTTTGATATCATTAAGGTACTTGAGTTATTTGAAGGAGTCATAAAAAGCATGGCAAATGTACTATGTTTATGAGTGATGTTACGTCTTTTGTCCCTAATGTTCACATGTTAACATTCTAGGAGCCTCTCGATTCCAAAACAAAGATTAGACATTCATTGGTATATTTTTACTGGTGTCGGAGCCTTTACCCGTGGCTATCAAAAAGGAAAAATATAGTTGTGAAATAGTATATGTGATTGACAAGACCTTTTCGATTTAACAAGCCTTCGGCTTCTCTCAAAGCCTGTTCAAAACTCTCTTGAAGTTTGAGGAGTGGAAACAGGAAGAATACGCCTGCAATTGAGTAGTGACGGCTTCTTTTCCCAAATAGTTTACAGTTACAAATTTCGAAATATAGAAAATTCTCAGATCTGTTGTTAATTATGTGTGGGATTCTGGCCTTGCCTTGGGGCATGTAGAATTGCTTGGTGGGTTGTAGGCAGGTTAAGAGCTTTCTGGTGGTTTGCCCTTAACTTTGTCCTCTGGCTTAGAATCTTTCTTTCCTGCTGTTGCTGTCTTGTAATCATCTTCTAGTTTTCTGGAGAAGAGGGAGTTAACATTGTCTTACTCAAGAATGAAATTATGCACCATAAGGCAGTTATGGTGTTACATGTTACTACTACATTTACAAATTTCAAAAAATAGATATTGATGTAAACTGACTTATAAGAAAACAAGCTAACGATGTGTCGAAATAAATGCTGTTTATTATATATTTTTTTTCAAATTATTTACAACTTTTGCATGATAAATTTTGATCCCACCCATGTGGATAAAGTAGAAAACCGAATAATTAAATTTCCCCTTTATCCGAGGAACTTCAAATCCGGGTGGCCTACTATAACTTTTACTGTTTGCTGTTTCCTTATTATTTATTCTTTTCTTTCTTATGATTCGCTTGAAATACTGTCCATCCTAAACTGCTGCTTAGATCGATTTTCCAGTTACAGGTGAGTGACACAGATTCCAGACAACAACAAAAACAAACAACCGACAATTTTATATTGCCAAAGCAAAAAAATTTACAAACAGCATAAATGAAACAGATGAGGCAAAAATACCAAAATACAATCTTCAGCTCCTTAACAGTCCTGATGTTTCTCCTACTTAAACCTTGCTGCATAACAAGGTCAGTATCTTTGACGATATACCTAGAGAGAAATATTGCACCATTACAACAACAAGTTCTCGGTTAGGTTTTTTTAGGTTTGGAGTTTTCCTTCCTTGAACGTGAAGGCTTAATGTAAATCCTTGTCACACAGCACAATTCTGTGGGTAACCATTTCATTTGCAAGGTAATCGTGCTGAATGGAATGAATACTCATAGTGAGATCTCCCTCTCCTTGCAGGCGAGATTGACTCTTTCTGCCTTCTTCTATCTTTCCATTACATCTGTTTGGCTAAGATTCTTTTGTTTTAGATGTGCCTCTCGCTCTGAGGATAATAATAATAATAATAATACAACATTCAGAGCATGGTAGAAAGTCTCAATGCTCTTACATGTATTCTCCTCTTCTTGTATTAAAGAAAACTAAATAGATTATGCAGATAGATGAGAATTAACAAGCTAGAATAATAGTCAATAATAGTCTCACAGAAAGGCACTACAAGACCAATTTACTAAAAGAACCTATCAATTATTATTGCATTGAGTACTGTAGTGACTGTAGATTCTGTATTTTTTGTAGCAAAATGAATGGGTGCAACGACTGGCAAGCACCCTAACAGGTTATTTGTATTACTAAGTACTCAACCATGGAAGAGATTGAGAAGTTGTTACACGTGGCTCTTTACGGCCAGACCGAGCAAGAAGTAGATGTAGCGATAAGTGCTCTTGGATTAGAATCAATTCCTTTATCTGGGATACATGCAAAAACAGGAAAAACACAAATCTAGGATTGATAAAAAAGCAATTCCTCATGGCAACGCATTTGAGGGTATCCACCCGATTGCTTCAACAGCACAGTCTAGAGGAAAAGTGCGAGCTCCTCATCCAGGTATTGCACTACGTTGGCAGAAGTAAAAAAGACCGGAAAATGACTTGACGATCTTTCTGTTCACCTCCATAGCCACTTTTTTAAACTTTAAACCATTGGGTTTGAATACATGGCTCACCTCTTGTTTCGTTTTTTTCTGTTTGTCTTAGGGTTGCTTTGCACATATTGTAGTGCAATACTGTCATTGCGGTGCAGCCCCACTTGATCTTGATCTTTGAATTTGGGTGCTATCAGTGAAAGGATGTATAAACAGAAATTAATTTCCTGACAAGAATAAAAAATGAACCTTCTATATAAAGCTGATGTTATGTCAGAGGGTCTATATAACATTGTTGTAGACTGGATATTAAATAACATTAAGAATAGGAAAACTGTAATTGTAATAATTCACACAATTTAGACCCGTTGTTTAACAGATTATTCCGTTAAGTTAAACTCCCTACAAATTCATCTCAAGATAAATATTACGGTTCCAACTTTATTTATGTACAAGAAATATACAAATACAAAGATATAGCATGCTGAAATTGAAAAATCTAGGGTATATACCCAAAAATATATAATTGAAAAACAGCATAATTTTGTTTGCAGTATGGAGAACAATTACAAGCCTCCTGCACGCTTCGTTTTTTTGAAATGGTTTAAAAGAATTTGACAAATTCAAAGCCATGCAACCCTTGAAGGGACACTCAGAGATGTTGTTGTGGGATGGCCTGAGGTGTGGTCGTGTAGAATTCCTTTGTGGATTGTCGGAAATGGTTAGAGCTTGCTGCTTGGTTGCCCTTAGATTTGTCCTCTGGCTTAGAATTTTTCTTTCCTGTTGTTGCTGTCTTATAATCATCCTCCAGGTTTCTGGAGAAGAGGGAGTTAACATTGTTTTCTGATTTATCTTGTGGTCAAGAAGCAAATGAAGATTAGAATCTCTAAAGAAAACAGTATGCATGCTCCTTTTCAAAGAAATACGTTTTTACTGTTTACATTTGGCACTATTGAACAGGGTCATGTGAAGAAAGTTTACGATCTTTCTGTTCGCGTTGATAGCGACTATTTGTTAAACTTTAAACCATTGGATTTGAATACATCGCTCACTTCTTGTTTCTTTTTTTCTATGTGCCTTGGAGTCGCTTTGCACACAGAAGTGTGATACCGTCATCACAGTACAGCCCCACTATATCTTGATCTTTGAATTTGGGTGCTATCAGTGTCAGCATGTACAAACAGAAACCAATTTCCCAACCAAGTGTTATGAGGTAGTTGCCTTGCCTTCACTTTTGCTAGTTTAAAGATTTTGCTAGCTTCGTGATAAACAGTTTATAGACTTTGAAAATTAGAGATTCAATGTATTTCCCCACATGGTTAGTTCCTGAGTTTTTGTCTAGTATTATCCATTTGAACTGTTTGTTAAGCTTAGTTTTGGTTCTTTGAAGTAGTAATAATCATCTTTATTGAGGAAACTTTTTCATAAAAGATATGGTTTTCAAAAAGGACCTCAAAACTAGATATATATTATAAAAAAAGCTATAAAATTGCAAAGGGATTAAAAAGATACAAAAAATGCAAAAAAAATTAAAAATAAGTATAAGTAAAAATTAAACGTAAGTAGCTATATCAAAAACTTAAAAACATTACGTTTAAAACTATTTACATTCCTTGAGTCCAAGTAGGCTTGTTTGGGGAGTACAGCTGACCTTGCGTTTTACCCACAATCGAGTTCCTGTTTTGTCTGTTTTGTCCTTCTGGGCAGTTTCACTCTTAGCATTTACCTGGTTCTTTGGTACTTGTCGGTTGCGGCTGTGTAGGCTTATCTAACAATAGCAAATCTGTTGCAATATAGGCGACAAGGTATTCAATAGAAACTCTTCCGGTCAGCTAACACAAAATACGCCTACACTTTGGTTATTTAATTCGCTGTGTAAGCTAATAGAATTAGTAGAGTTGTTGTAAGTAGCTGTTGAAGATTAAACTGCTATCTTAAAGAGAAAGAACAGAGTCTTGGTCCTCTAATTACAAAGCCTAGCGAGCCTCACAAGCCCTCAACATACTTGGTGGAGAACTCCTTTGAAGAATCACTGCAATGGCAAGTGGAACTTTGTTTTGTTACCATGCCTTTCCGTTGCAAGCTAGTTTAGTCCTGTATTTTTCTGTTGGAACTTGTGTAAGGCGTAGTTTATTTTCAGTATACATGTCGGTTAGTTTGTGAATTAGTTATGGCTGCTATGAGTCAATTTCAAAGTTCGGTTTTCTTTTGATGTGTCTGTCACTTTTCCCATTTATGAGTGTCATTTTGGATGTTATTGCCTTTGTTTTTGAGTCTTTGAAAAATTTGGCTTATGTTGAACTTTTCCACTTGTCATCCTAGGCAGAGAGCGCGAACCCTGGCTGAGGGGGCCGTTTGCCAAGAAAATTTGGAAGTGAATTCAGGTTCGAATGAGTGGCCTGCCCCTCCTCCACCCGTTCAGCAGTCTAGAGAACTGTTGTTCCGTTCATTTCTAAGGTCAATTCATAGATCACCTAGGGTTGAAGCACAAGCACAGGCGTTTAGTGCAATTGCGACTCCCAGTGAATGCTCTCCAGTTTCTCTTTGTACTAGCGACCACAAATCCGACTCTGAAGAGGAACTTATATATGAAAACGTAGAGCCCAGAGAAAATTGTCCTAGTCGTGAAGGTATAAGTGAAGATTCAATTGAGGAACTGCATAATTCATTCGTCGATAGTTCTTCAGAGTCAGGTCAGTTGTCTCTTGCACCAGTCTATGCCGAAATGGAAGATCAAGTTAATCAGTTAGGTCGAGCAGTTGAACAAATGCAGGCTTCTGTTAACTCACAGGGTAGAAGTGTCAGTGTGAAATTGTTAGTAACGTTTCCAGTTTTTAGGAGAGATGAGTGTGAGGATGCTCATGAGTTTATTAGGAATTATAACAGGGCTGGTAGGTTAAATGGTTGGGACGACAACAATTTAGCTTTGGGGCTTCCTCTCTATTTAAAGGGTCATGCTAACGGGTGGTTCAAGACTTTGCCCATGGCTGACGAGATGTCTTTTGAAGAATTATCTGAGCAATTAATTACACATTTTGCCTCCGGAGCCAGCGAGTGGCGCGCAAGAGAGGTGTTAGGGCAGCGGTGACAACTGGAGAAAGAATCAGTTGCAGATTACTCTTGTAGTCTCCGAACCCACTGTGCGAGAATCAATTTGCCTAGATCTGAGTGGACACATTATTTTGTGCAAGGCCTCCTACCTGAGATCTGCAAATACGTTATTTTGCAAAAAACCTGAGAATTTGACGAAAGCAATTAATCCTAAGGATAAGTCAATTAGTGCTGTGAGTCAGGACCCTTTCGTGAGCAAGTCTGAAATGAAACAAATCATTAGAGACAAGTTTCGAGAGTTAATGGGAAGTGCTAGTTATAGACCCAGTGGTTATAATCAGCACTCTAACCAGTCTTTTCAGTCAAGGGGTTTCCGGTCCTGGTTTGGTGATGCCATTTGCTATAATTGTGGTTGAAAAGGGCATCCTTATTATTTTTGCCGCTAAAAACCTGATCCTAGAAATTCTCATCATGGAGGCGGTGGACAAAACTTTTTATCAGAATAAAGGTCAAGATGCTTCTATTTGTCAACCTAAGCAGCAGGGAAACTGAAGTGTGCCCCTGTCTCGTTACAAAATGAACCCGTGATGGAGGCTTCAAAAGTTGTAGAGCAGAATCAAAGTTCGTTGCCAGGATCGTGCTGATAAAATTACTTTCAGTAAAGCGCTGCCTGTCAATGTTTCAGTAGATACAACAGCTGATTTTCGGTAAAATGTTGTTAATAAGAGTGATTTTCAGACCTTGCCAAAACAATTCTCTGATTATCCGCGGCAAGGAAGTAGGCTATCAAAACAAGGCACTTGTGTTGAGAGTAATATTGTTGTTATTCTATCAGTTGTTTTTGATATCATTAAGGTACTTGAGTTATTTGAAGGAGTCATAAAAAGCATGGCAAATGTACTCAATCGACCTCCAGTGTTTCAAAGCAAGTATTCCGGCACCAGTACGCCAGGTTTTTCTTCTTTGTCTGTTCAGGATATATTTCCTTTATATTCATCTGAGGCCTTTAGAGAAGAGAAACCCCCGAGTTTTGAAAGTGTTGTTAAAGAAAACAGTTTAGTTTTTGAGGAGGTTGACGTTAATGTTAATGACACAGTGGATTTTAAAGATGTTGTTGTTTCGGAGGTCATACCCAGTGATGTTAAATTTAATGAGATAACTGATAGCGGAGTTTTTTCATCTAATAACTTAGTCTTAGTCTTTAAGTGATAGTAAATAGTATACAGGGGTCAGTGAGTTTGTCCCTTCCCGAGTGTTTTAAACGATTTCCGCAGCGAAGCAGGGGCAGAGATAGAATGCAATGTCGCTTTATATGCGAAATCTTGTACAAAGGAGAGGAGCTGCTGTTACAGCAGTAAGTACTTGTGTGGCGGAAGTATTTGCATCATGCTTACCCTAGGCTAGATGGACCTGATTCGGGGAGTGCCACTACTGCCAATGGTTCCTGTTTAACTATTCTGGGAAAGTCACCAATGAAATTTGTTATTGATTCTCATGAGGTAGTTCCCTTTTGAAGCCTGCGTGATTGAAAATTTATCTTATGATGTTATCCTTGGTATAGATTTCCTTACAGAATTTTGTTTTAATGTTGATTTTGAAAACGGATTGGTGAACTTTCCTTCTGAACCAGATCCCCTTCCTTTTAAGGGTGTGCACTTAAATGATGATAGTGATTCAACGGATAAAACTTTTATTTCTTCGGTCCACGCCTCTCGTACTTTTGTTATTCCACCTCAGTCAGAAATTTTGGTTTCAGGGGAACACAATTCTTTACCATTAGCGAAGATGGTATTAATGGTATGATTATTCCAAAGTCCGATTTATGCCATCGTTATTCTGTTTTCGGAGCTTCTGAGCTTGTCAGTGTTGCAGTTGACGGTATGATCCCCATAAGGTCGGTCAATCCTTCCTTCCAGCCAGTTAATATTTACCATAGAACTCATTTACCTGATTTTGAGGAGGTAGATCAAAATGTAGCAACCTTTGAGCTAAATGTGACAGAGCAAATTGAGGAGCCGTCCAAACATGAGCAGCTGGAAAAGCAGGATTATTCTCAGTTGCCTGATTTGTCTGATAGTATTTTGTCAACTGATGACAAAGTTAAGTTTCATGATTTGTTTGTGAAATACTGTGACGTGTTTGCTCTGTCTGATTCTGATTCTGAGTCAAAAGTGTTATTATCGTTACGTTTGATGGTTGCTTGGTAGATAACTGATGATTGAAGGCAGTTTCTGTTAAAAGCGCATATGGTCAGCTACAATGCATGAATAACACTAAACAAATTACCGACAACCACAACAAGCCTATCCTGAATTCACACAAACACACAGATAAATACACAGATAACTCTGTTGACAACAAATCATGCAACTGCTGACAAAAGAACACATGCCCTCTTAATGAAAACCGCCTTCAATCATCAGTTATCTACCGAGCAACCGTCAAATGTAACGACAATAACACTTCTGAAACATACATCAGACTCACAGAAAACGCCTTCAAAACTCGGTACAGAAACCACACTGCATCATTCCGTCACACAAAACACAGGAACTCTAGGGAACTCAGTAAACATGTCTGGTCCCTTAGAGACAACAACATTGACTATTCTATTTGATGGCATTTCAGTTCATCTCGCTCACCCTACAACAGTTCAAGTAAAAGATGTAACCTTTGCCTCAAAGAGAAATTTTTAATTACCTGTTGTCCCGATCTATCATCACTTAACAAACTTAACAAACTTGTACCTTCTTGCCGCCACAGAAACAACGCGTTGCTACGTAACAACTAAACATTTAAATTTAAATTTTTCCCAACAATGTAATCTCAAAGTATATAGTCGATGGTTATGAATATTCTTGTCACTAAAATCCCCTGAAGAGTGAGTGATCACGAAACAGGCTTGTCAGGATGAAAGTGTAGTTTTTTCCTTATTTCCAATATTTAAAGATGATATAATTATATTTTCTAGGTTGGTTGAAGAGCACACTAGAAGAAGTCTTAAGGAGGCTTCGTCAAGCTAATGTTAAGTTGAATCCGACGAAATGTAGCTTTGTTAAACAAAAGGTAGAATGTCTCAGCCATGTTGTAACCCCTAAAGGTGTAAGTCCCAACCCACACAAGGTTCAAGTCTTAAGGAGGCTTCGTCAAGCTAATGTTAAGTTGAATCCGACGAAATGTAGCTTTGTTAAACAAAAGGTAGAATGTCTCAGCCATGTTGTAACCCCTAAAGGTGTAAGTCCCAACCCACACAAGGTTCATGTCATGCAGGAATTCCCCACTCCAACTAATTTAAAGGGACTTAGAAATTTCTTAGGTCACGCTTATTATTTTAGGTGTTTTGTAAAGGGTTTTTCTCACATAGCTACTCCCCTAAATGTGTTGACTCAGAAGGGTGTTTCTTTTAATTGGACTTAGGAATGTGCAGTCGCTTTCGACTAGCTGAAGCATGCATGCGCTCCTATTTTAGCCTATCCCAACTTTAAGGAGCCTTTTCTGTTGTTGGTTGATGCTAGTTCCACGGGGATCGGTTTTACCTTAGCTCAAGTTCAGAATGCAAAAGAAGTTGTAATTGCTTACAATGGGCATGGTTTGAATCAAGCAGAGCGTAATTATAGTACAACTGAGAGGGAAGCACTTGCGTTGGTCGAGGAAATTAAGAAGTTTCAACCTTATCTTCAGAATCACAAATTTACAGTTGTTACTGATCACAGTTTCCTTGTGTTGGTTAATGAATGTTGAGGATCCTTCAGGTAGTTTAGCAAGATGGGCTTTACTTTGGCAGCAGTATGATTTTGAGATTGTTCATCGCCCTGGTAAGGTTCATGGTAATGCAGACGGTTTATCTAGGCGTCCTTATGTGTCACAAGATTTTAATGCACTCCAAAAGGAGGAGCCACAAGTGGCGAAAACTCGAGAGTTGCAGAGGTGTGATCTTGACATGATGGAGATAATTGATTACCGAGAAGGTGATGTTTTACCATCAGACGATTACGCTACGCACAAAATTTTGCTGACGAGTGACAGTTTTTATATTGGGCATGATGGATTACTTTATCATTTGGCGACAATCGAAAGGGCAATTCTTGGGATTCGTTTCCTCAGCTCGTTGTTCCACCATTGTTAAGGTTCGAAATTTTGTCTAACATGTATGACCATGTTTCTAGTACGCATTTTGGGGTCCATAAGACGTTGAATAAGGTTAAGCAGAGGTATTGGTGGAAAGGAATGTACAAAGATACTGAACGTTAGTGTAAGCCTTGTACTGAATGTTCCACGAAGAAATCGCCTAGAAATTCAAAGAAAGCACCTATTCACAAAGTAAATACTTCTAGTTATCACCCGCAGACCGATGGCCTAGTCGAAAGGTTTAACTCTACCTTATGTCAGTCACTTTCGATGTATGTCGCAAAGAATAAAAAAGACTGGGACGATTTTATACCACTAGTTTTGTTTGTCACAGAACATCAGTTTTAGAAGCCATCAGCGATTCTCCTTTTTAAGTTCTGTATGGCCGTGAGCCTCCGAAACAAAGCTTTTGAATGTTCACACAGTCTTTAATTTTACTTAGCTTAGCGGTAGTTTCACCTTGGGTAACAAATCTTGTTCAGTGCCTCTGGAAAAGTTCTTTGATCAATTATTGCTTACAGTTCGCGCTTTTCAAAAAGTTGTTCCTCGGCTTCTTTCTTTGGCAGGCTTTTCAACTTTGGTGGAGTGTGACACATTTACTGAGGTATTATCAGTTTATGGTAGGAAAAGTTTCAAGAATGCGATGTCCAAGAGCCTATAAAAGCTCCGTTTCTGAGTATAAAACTTGGGCGTTACGATTCTGCCACGGCACATCGTTCAATGAAAGACAGTGGCTGCTAGAGAGAAGCTGCACGCAACGTTCAAATTGGATGTGCCACGCAGGGGGTCTACATATTTTTGGACGATTTGGACTGGAACAGACCATAAATGTGAGCAAGCTTAAAGCCATTTTAAGAACTCTGAGCAGTGCTATGTCTATTTCTTAAAGTATGATGCGTGTTATCAACAGAAAAGTTGTGTATTTGTTTAAAATTACAGATCACATGAACAGTAAACTGGATATTTTGTCTCAGGATTTAAAAATAGTTAAAAACACCTTTGCTGGTTGGCAGAGGCAACTCAAAAAATTTGCCAATTCGGTCAGATGCCACGAGGGATTGATGATGGAATTTCTTTCTAAATATACCGCGGAAATTAACCGTGCCTTTGTCACCTTTTCAAGACTTTTTGAAATCCAAGATACTTTAAGCCAGATTTCCCATCTGAACGATAAACCGTTGGTAGGATATTCAGATTTACCGCAGTTTATTTCTTCGCACTTTGTCTGCCAACCTTTCTATTGATCCTTCTTTGAGATTGACTACAACAGCATTACAGGAAGGTTTGTCAGTCCGGCAAGCCCTATGGTTGATGTTGAACATGATGGTCAGAATTTGACTACTGATATTTTATTGTTAGCACCTGACATCACGGATAAGAATAGTTTCTGCGTTGTAGAACATTTGACGCCTCTTAAGTTTAATATTTCGGGTGTTTTTCAGCGCCTGTTCAACCCACAAACCTTGCTTTAATTAACTATCCAAATTCGAGGCAGGTAGTGTCTCTAGAAGGATTAGATAGGTGTTTTAGTAGTGAAGTAGGTTTCTTATGTCCCAAAAATGTCTTAAAGTCAGTTTCTAGCTTGCAATGGTGGGTTTTGCTTGGAATCCGAACATGAACC